TTGAAGTGAAAAATACGAAATATAGACTGAGTTCAGCTAAATATAATGAAAGCTTTTAAAAGAAGGGGACCTCATAAGCCATCTAGCTTCAAAATTTGGACACCAAAATGCCTAGGTCAAAATCTAGGTCAAATTCAAAGTTTTTCCTTATTTTTGCGATTCTGACACAACAGATTAATTATATTCTTCGAAATTTTGTATACATGTAGCTAAGAGTCTGCTAATAGTGTTAGCCTTTTGCCGTCAGAAAGTATTTTGCCCCATTTTTGAGATATGGTGTCCGAAAAGTAGGTCAAAATAAAAAATTCTCAAAATTTCACGTTTGAGTTATGATTTAAGTATAGAATTTTCTCAGGAATCCGAATCTGCAAACCAAATTTCGATCCGACTTCCGGTTTGGAAGTTATGGTGTGTCCGAAAAGTAGGTCAAAATAAAAAGTTTCCAAATTTAACGTATGAGCTATGAATTAAGGATAGAATTTTCTCTGGAATCCAAATCTGCAAACCAAATTTCGATCCGACTTCCGGTTCGGAAGTTATGGCGTTTTGAAAGCTCAAAAATCGCTAAATTTGGTGCCCCATGTTATGTCAATGGGAAAAATATTTTTTTGAAGTGTAAAATACGAGATATAGACTAAGTACAGCTAAACATAATGGAAGCCCATAAAAGAAGGGGACCTCAAAAACTTCTAATTTTGAAAATTTGGACAACAAAATGCCTAGGTCAAAATCTAGGTCAAATTCAAAGCTTTTCCTTATTTTTGCGATTCTGACACTACACTTTAATTATATTCTTCTAAATTGTGTATACATGTAGCCAAGAGTGTGCTAATAGTGTTAGCCTTTTGCCGTCAAAAAGTATTTTGACCCACTTTTGAGATATGGTGTCCCAAAAGTAGGTCAAAATAAAAAAATCTTCAAATGTAACGTATGAGTTATGAATAAGGGGTAGAATTTTATCAGGAATCCGAATCTGCAAATCAAATTTTGATTCGACCTCCTGTTCGGAAGTTATGGTGTTTTGAAAGCTCAAAAATCGCTAAATTTGCTGCCCCATGTTATGTCAATGGGAAAAAAGATTTTTTTTGAAGTGTAAAATACGAGATATAGACTGAGTACAGCTTAATATAATAAAAGCCTATTAAAGAAGGGGACCTCGAAGGCTACTTAGCTCCAAAATTTGGACACCAAAATGCCTAGGTCAAAATCTAGGTCAAATTTATAGTTTTCCCTTATTTTTGCGATTCTGACACTATATTTAAATGATTTGCTTTAAAATTTTGTATAGAGGTTGCAAAGAGTATGCTAATAGTGTTAGCGTTTTGCCGTCAGAAAGTATTTTGACCCACTTTTGAGATATGGTGTCCGAAAAGTAGGCCAAAGTTAAAAGTTTTCCAAATTTAACGTATGAGTTATGAATTAAGGGTAGAATTTTCTCAGAAATCTAGATCTGCAAACCAAATTTCGATCCGACTACTTGTTCTGAAGTTATGGCGTTTTGAAATCTCAAAAATCGCTAAATTTGGTGCCCAATGTTAAATCAATGGGACCGAATAATTTTTTGAAGTATAAAAATACGAGATATAGAATGAGTACAGCTAAACATAATGAAAGCCCATAGAAGAAGGGGACCTCAAAAGCTACTTTCCTTCAAAGTTTGGACACCAAAATACCTAGTTCAAAATCTAGGTCAAATTCATAGTTTTTTTTATTTTGCGATTCTGACACTACACTTCAATGATATTCTCCGAAATTTTGTAAACTTGTAGCAAAGAGTGTGCTCATAATGTTAACATTTTGCCGTCAATAAGTTTTTTGACCCACTTTTGAGATATGGTGTCCGAAATGTAGGTCAAAATAAAAAGTTCTCCAATTTTAAAGTATGAGTTATGAATTAGGGGTAGAATCTCCTCAGGAATCTGGATCTGAAATTAAAATTGCAATCCGACCCCCGGTTTAGATTCTACGCCATTTTGAAGTTTGAAATTCGCACTTGCCAGTATTCACGATGCAGATTGATCAAATATACTTTCAAAACTTCCTGCATACCCTACTTTACCTCTCTACCTACTCAGCTACTTATTTGACTACTTACTCAATTACTTAATTAGTTATTACTTCCTTAGCAACTTACTCAGCTACTAACTCAGGTACTTACTCAGCTACTTACTCAGCTACCTACTCAGCTTTTTACTCAGTTACTTACTCAGCTACTTACTCAACTACTACTAAGGTACTTACTCAGCTAATTACTCAGTTACTTACTCAGCTCTTTACTGATCTATCTAGGTCAAATAAATCTGGAGTCTTAAATTGAACTTGTTCAATTTCACAAATCTAGTTCTTTTTCTTTTTTCTTTCTTTCTTTCTTTCTTCCTCCTAACAAATTTTCTCTCCAACAATAACATCTTACTTAAACCAACTTACATAATTAACTAAGGAATGTTTCTGGCTTTCTGGGAAATTAGGTCAAATTTTTATCTAGGTCAAAGGTCAAGAACTAGGTCAAATCCAGTACTTTGTCACTTTTTCCCATTATCTCGGTCGTCCTTCAATATTTTTGATCCGGGTTTTTTTCATTGTGTTCCTCATAAAAAAGTAGAAAAGCTAGGGTCGATTTAGTTTTTTGGTATCTCAAACGGATTTCGAGATATCAGTGTCCGAAAACGAGGTCCAAAAAAAAGTTCTCCGAATCCAATGTCCAGGATATCAGTCTTATAGGAAATTTTCTCAGGATTCCGAATCTGAAAACCAAATTTCGATTTGACTTCTGGTTCAGAAGTTATGGCGTTTTGAAAATTCAAAAATCGCTAAATTTGGTGCCCCATGTTAATTCAATGGGAAAAAATATTTTTTTGAAGTGTAAAATACGAGATATAGACTAAGCACAGCTAAACATAATGGAAGCCCATAAAAGAAAGGGACCACAAGACCTTCTTTTCATAAAAATTTGGACACCAAAATGCCTAGGTCAAAATCTAGGTCAAATTCAAAGTTTTTCCTTATTTTTGCGATTCTGACACTACAGATTAATTATATTCTTCGAAATTTTTTATACATGTAGCCAAGAGTGTGCTAATAGTGTTAGCCTTTTGCCGTCAGAAAGTATTTTGACCCACTTTTGAGATATGGTGTCCGAAAAGTAGGTCAAACTAAAAAGTTCTCCAAATTTTACGTATGAGTTATGAATTAAGGGTAGAATTTTCAGGAATCCAAATCTGCAATCCAAATTTCAATCCGACTTTTGGTTCGGAAGTTATGTCGTTTTGAAAGCTCAAAAATCGCTAAATTTGGTGCCCCATGTTATGGCAATGGGAAAAAAAATTTTTTGAAGTGTAAAATACGAGATATAGACTAAGTACAGCTTTACATAATGAAAGCCTATAAAAGAAAGGGACCTCAAAAGCTAGCTAGCTTCACAATTTGGACACCAAAATGCCTAGGTCAAAATCTAGGTCAAATTTATAGTTTTAACTTATTTTTGCGATTCTGACACTACACTTTAATTATTTGCTTCAAAATTTTGGATACAGGTAGCAAAGAGTGTGCTAATAGTGTTAGCCTTTTGCCGTCAGAAAGTATTTTGACCCACTTTTGAGATATAGTGTCCGAAAAGTAGGTCAACATGAACGTTTCTCCAAATTTAACGTATGAGTTATGAATTAAGGGTAGAATTTTCTCAGGAATCCGAATCTGCAAATCAAATTTCAATCCGACACTCGGTTTGGAAGACTTGGGGTTTTGAAAAATTAAAAAATTGGTATTTTGATATCCCATGTTATGTCAATTATCTTTGTCACTATTCGTCGTTATTCCTTTATCTTTCTTTCATCATGTAGCTTAAAGACAGTCCTTTCATTATTGTAACTGTCTTTTTTGATTACTCTTACCGATTTTGAGGAATGGCGTCCGGAAAGTAGGTCAACACAAAAAGTTCTCAAAATTTAATGTATGAGTTATGACACAAACGTAGAATTTTCTCAGAAATTCGAATCTGCAAACCAAATTTCGACCCAAATTCTGGTTAGATAGTTATAGTTGTTTGAAGTCTCGAAAAGTCGATATTATGATATCCCCATGTTAAGCCAATGGAGACGAAGATAACTTACTTAAGAGTTGTCTAAATGTCTGTATTCTAGATGACTTAGCTTATTCTGAATGGCTCAGCTTACAGTATTTTGGATGACTCAGCTTAAAAAAAGTTTTAAATCTGGAGTCTTAAATTGAACTTGTTCAATTTACATTTTTATTATTTAAATCAATCCAATACTGAATTTTCTTCTGTCTTTTCTGATATTGATGATTAAATACAGTGAAACCTGTTTAATCGGAACGCTACTGGACTGGCCAAAAGTGTTCGGATTAGCATGTGTTCACATTTCTCAACATGTGAGTATATAGGAGATTGGGACCATATACAATGTAAAATTGGGACCAAAAAAGTTTTCACATTGAGAGGTGTTCAGATATACAGGTTTCCCTATACATGTTTTTAAATAGAACTCATCATAAAGAAGTTTAAAAATGTGAAATAGCCAACATATCAAATTATAATGCAAACATAGATTATGATTTCAATTTAGTTGATTCTATTGCTTTTCACATAACATATAATAGATAATTATGTACTGAAAATGATCACTTTCAGTAAAGTTTCAGTTTGTATGAAAAATTTCAACATTTCATGATTATTGGGCTACTCAAGATTGGTTCTGAATAGGGCAACATACCAGTGATCTTCCCATGCAGCATCAGAATACCCAGGGTCTACATTCTGTTGAAAATCCCCAAATTACCAGGCAACCTTTTCAATATCTGTTTGCACCCTACCAAAATTGAAATAGACGAAATATTATCATTTTTTACTAAAACACATGAAATAAGAATTTAGCACAGCATTGAGAAAAAATGGGAAGCTCTCTGAAATACCATGGCCAGCCCTGTATTATGATCTACATGTTGAAATAATATTTTATAATCTTACTTTTATTTTTCTTCAGAGCCCAAGGGATAGAATAAAGAGTGAGCTGGAATTAAGACGATTTAAAAGTGATCTTAGTTTAAATGACCTTGGTTACCATACCAACTGTCAGGTCCAGAACCTTCCCAGGACTGCCCTCAATATACGAGATGGGTCAAATGGTCTTAGTTACGATTCCCTGATGTCGTTATTCAAACTAGAGCGAGCCAGAACAGCACCTGCATTTCCACTTCATATTCCGAAAGAGCTTCCAATAATTCAGATATCTGATGATTATAATTTGCCGTTGGATGAAGAAAAATTAAAATGGATCGACAAGCTTAATTGTTGGATGCCTGAAAAAGGGGTGAGTTTCACATTGCATTTCTTTCATTCTATTTGAATATCTTTAACTTAACTCTCCAAAGTAGAATACATTTTGGTCAGGTGTATGTATAGATTTGTAATGAACGTGATAGACATATTATTTAAACATTCAATAGTTTGGTTCATATAAATATGCAGATTTTTACATCTCTACATGAAAAGTACAACAACATTGTTTGAAAGATGGCAGTACTATCGCTATTTTGTGGTGATTGCTCCAAGGAGACTTGAGACTTCACGTTTCAACTGAAGCCTATTTAGCTCCACCCCCAACATTCTCCATTCTAGAACCCGAGTAAACATTTTGGTGAATAGATGATCGGTGGATGAAAATAGTAATTTCAAAATAAGTTTTATTTGAAAAAGATAAAAAGATACATAAAAACAATCTTAATTTCCAATTCAAAATCTTTTTTTGAAAATTAAAAATAAACAGATTAAAAAATAAAGCAAAGCTAGGGTGGACAATAGATACCATGAGTGCTTATAAAACACTTGAAACTACTCAGGATAAAATATTAAGCCAGAGTTCATGTTCTTTTTAATCAATAAGGGTCAAGGAATGTACATGCACTTTATATGACTTTTGAGCTGACAGATGACAGTGTTATAGATACATTTTCACATGTTATCTTAATTTAATCTTAATGTCTTGAAATTGTTTTTGGTATTTCATCTAAAAAGAAACACATTGATGACTTGGTGTGTACAGACATTAAAACAATTACTTTTAATTGGTTGCCATGGCTTGCAGAATGTGTATATCTTGTTCTACTTGAGGCAAGACATATTAAAGTATAATGTGTGTTAATTGGCAATAAAGGTATGCTATAAATCATCTTTAGAAAGTGTAACACTCCCGAATGTGAATAAAACATTATAGTGTTCTTGCTTTTATATGAACAAAGTGCGCAAAAGAGGGGAATAGATATGGTTAAATATTAACAGAGTTTGGAAAATTATTCTAAAATGTACATATGAGAAAATAAGACAAATTAAACACATGTTCGAAAACAAAAACTCCTAATCAAGATAAGAACTCGAAGACATATGATGTGTTAACTGTTGAGCAAATGGATTTTCAAGGATAAGTAAAAAAGGATATTTTATTGGAGAAAATTAAGCTTGCTTGCTTATGACTTTGATGAGTTTATCTATTACAGCATCTAATATTGACATTACTCATTGTGTGATGATAGGAAATTATCAAATAGTGTTGTTTGGTCTGTTATCTTAAGTCAGGGGATTAATTGGTGAAAGGAGTTGATTTAAGAGACAACCCATGGAAAAAATGCCACCACAACTACATTTATTTTGTAATAATCTCTGAAATAAATGACCACCAGATTTGCAGAGTTAAGCACAATTTTGACTTTTGAATCACATTTGCAGAACACTTTATTTTTTAATTTCTGAGTTTTCTACTTAATTTTAACTGCAGAAATGTCGCCATTGTGGAATATTTAAGATGGGAATCATTATACAAATGGTAACAACCATAAAAATACTTTACTTCAGATTTTAGAATTGAATCCGCAAGTTACATTTAAAAAAGTTAAAAAGTTCACATTTCTATGCCCCACATAATGGATTACTGCATTGGATTTATAGCTGTTGGACAAACAAACATGGATGGGGAAGGATGTTGTGACATATAAACAGAAATGAATGAAATACAAATTCTTTGGCTTTTATACGATACGGATCTTTTAGTATAATTTGTGATTTCCAAAACAAGATAATCACAGAAATTTACATTGTAGTATGAAACAAAATTGATGATTGATGCCTTTGAGCATGATCCACATCAAATGAAGACCGTGTCATCTAAGGATAAAGCAGAGATCAGTTAAAAAAAGAATAAATTCAGATTATCATCCAATGACTTTTTTACTGCAACATTATGACATCAGCATTATTTTGAAATCTCAATTATGACATCACAGAAGAAAAAGTTTGAAGACTGGCAACATCCAGCACGCCCCGTCCCTCATCTTCCGGAAATTAATTTCTTAGTTGAGGGTTCAGGTTTCGGAATAAATGGACTGGAGCTGCCATATATAAAGGATGGATATCTTATATATTCAGATGGGAGAAAAATAAAATTAGATAAACATCAACAAGATTTGATGGATTTTATTGACCTAAATGAGGTTTGTATATACATGTACAAGTATTTTAGATCGGTTTTCTCTCCAGAAATGTTCTCATTCTGGTGAAAGTATGACATTTCCTCAACATATTCCAAACTTATCAAAATCGTTTATAATTTTTTTTAATTCTCAACCTGGTTGATTTGAATTTTAATTGTTGAATTCAGTTTTTAGCTGAGTTAAGTTCTTCTGTTGGGGATGTTATAGGAAATGTTTTTCAAGAATATGTGAGAAAATTTGTATGCGAATACATCATTCTTTATGAGGCATTTAGACAACAAAATGTTGTGATTACCTGTCATTAGAACCTCACAATCACTACCCAAGTAAGTAACAGCATGATATAAAACACAATGAGTCGTAAGGTAATCCATTTTCCTTCACAATAATGCACTGTTACAGTAAAACCTGTCTTAGTGAACACCTCTGAGTCTCTCTAGTGAACATCTGTCTCTGTTGGACACCCTTCCTCAGCACATACTCTACTATATTGAACTCTGTATAAATTACCCACTCTCTCGTGAACATCTGTCTCTATTTTGACACCCTCCACACATACACTACTATATTCTGTATAAATTACCCTGTCTATAGTGAACATGCATCTACTTACAGTGAACACATCTTTGTGCATGCATATAGGTGTTCACTATACACAGATTTTACTTTATATGATAAACCTTGACATCTCAAAATTTCTCAGCAATCAGATGTTTCTGTTGAAATGAGTGTGTTGTGACGAGTGTTCTGTTATGACGAGTTTCAAAATTATCTTATATGTGAATTTTAGCAAGAAATCTTGCTTCTTTGTTTCACTTTTCCCTCAAGTGAACAAAGTCCGGATGTTAAATAATGTCATCTTTTGGGAGTTTGCTTTTTGCTTGTTGCTTTGGGATATTATGCGATCATGCGTGACGTCAGACATGTATCGCCCAAGTAACAACTATGAAACAAACAGTCTAGACTTCACTGTTTTAATTTTAACAGTTTATGACGTCAAAGGCACATTTCCTTACCGATATGGTTTGATGCCCCTTTGATTTACAGTGTATCAGTATTCTTAAAACAATTCTGGTAATTAAACTCAATTGATGTTTCTTTGTCATGATATAAACCACCAGAAAACATAAGAAATATTTATTTACTATTACTACTGTTAGTTTCCAATGATTTTTGCTGTTTCCACGTAGTTGTTTCTTGGACTTGATGATTGGTGGGGGTCTTAATACCTTTGGGTGTCTCCTCTCCCTTTCTTGCATCTTCCCTTTTGTTTTCTTCCCTATTGAAGAATGGCTTAGGAATATCATTTATATCCATTTTAGATATTGTCTTCACGAGTGAAGAAAAAATTTGAAAAAAGTTTTCAAAATTAAAAAAAATTGAAAAACAAATCTAGACCATCGAATATCACTTTTGAAATCATCAAATATCATTTTTTAAGAAGTGATATTCAATGGTTTTGGGGATTTTCACCAAAATATGATATCTTGAATGATCCACATATCAAATATATCTTCACCTGATATTCGATCCTTGTAACCATGGGATAAGTAGAGATTATCCTATATGAGGTTCAGGATATTGGGATTATCCCGAGGCTAATATAATATATTTGCCCGAGGGCCGCAGGTCCCGAGGGAAAATATATTATATTGGCCAAGGGATAATCCCAATATCCTGAACCGACTATAGGATAATATGTTTATCCCATACCAATCTTGGTCATCTGGTTCACATTGTTCAATCGTGGAAATATTCTAGAATATTCATGTCTATTTTTGTTTTCTTGGCGTGGGCGGATTTTTCTGTTCTCTCAAATATTCCCACATTTATTTTCTCGAATTTTTTAAGTGGATGCTCCTTCCATTTTTTAAACCATCAAACAGATCCCGATTGTCTGTGTTTTCTCCATTGTCGTTTACAATCATTATGCGAACGTTACAAATTATGAACAAATATGCGAGCGGCGATTATGACGTAGCGGGCAGATATAAAGGGCAGATATACTATATCTGCCTGCTCAGAGCGGGACGTAAAGCTATATCTGCCCGCTGATGAAAATATAAGTTTTTACAAACCGGCTTTATGTACCTGTAACCCGTCCAAGTATGGGATAATAAAATTTACTCCACACTTCTGTTGCAAGGCTTCATAAATTCACTAAACCTTATTGATGTTGTAGTTTGACTTTTAAATGTTAAAAAGATGGCATGTAAGTGATAGAATTAGCCTCAAATGGATCATATCTTACTCCAGTAAAATCTTGAAAAATAAATGAAAAAATTGCAACACAATGTAAACCTAGTGTAATCAATAGCCATTGGTAAGTGAAACAACATTTCAAAAATCTAGAAAAATCTAAGCAGTGGAAGACTAAGAATTCAAGGGATGAAGATACCCCCCTTAATCACCCCCTAAATCTCAATGATATAACTTTAAAAAAATCTCATTCGGCTCTCATTACAAAATTGTAGTTCTTTTTTTTGGATATGCATCAGAGACATATTAAAATTGAGAAATCTTTTCAACAGAAAATTAAAAATTGTCAGAAAATGTATTTTTGTGTATGTTTATACCCTACCTTGTATTATGTTTTGGATCATGTTTCACTATATTTATGTATAACTCTATTATCAGGCTTAATGGTAACTTGTAAAAATTCATGCTAGCTGAACTAATGTCAAAGATTAGGCATGGTCAATATCAAAACTTGAGCTTAATAGGTTTGTCAGAAAAAAATGCTGAAAATATCATAAATGTGTTAATTTTTCAGGTTCAATTTTAGGGTCAGGATTAGCTTGACCTAATAAGTTTTGCATTTGAAGTG